CTTTGTTAGTAAAGAGGGAGGAAAGGAGTGTTTTTTTTCTGTTGCTACGTTATTTTTTATTTTAGCGGCCCTTCATAATTATGTGAGCTGAGAAAAAAGAGTGAGAGAGGATAGTTCCTCATAGGGCGTAATTGGAATTCATTATGAAAAAGACTGACACAAGGAGAATAAATAGAATAAGTGTTTGCCAATGCAAAAAATGCGTTTGTTTTTGGATGGTAGCAACAACATCAATAATTTGTGTGTATACTTGCGTAGATGAGAACAATAGAGAATAACAAATATGAATGGTGGTTGACCACAAACAAACAAAAGAATATCAGCAGCCGAAAACAAAAAAACAAATTCTTGTTGATCTCATTCGGTATTTTCTCTTCGAAGCGAGCAGACATTAAAAGGAAAAGTGTTTTGGTGAAGTGAAGTGTTTGGAGCAACACAAAATAAGTAAGTATAATATGAAGTGTTTTATTTGTGCTAAATATTTTGCAGAAAATGATAATCTGTTTAAACATTTAAAGGAATATCATTTTCTGAAAACGCACGACAATTATATGTGTTGTGAAAATGTTTATACTAATTCATCAACGTTTAAAAGACATGTTAGAAAAAAACATGCTGACAACCAATTTGCAAATTTTAGTGAAAGCTACGCGGAAATTCCAAGCAATTTACAAAGAAATTTTATATGTGAAAAATAACCGATTGATGTCCAGTGTAATATTAAATATGAAAGTGAATACAATCACGACCAATTTACGTTATAAAATATATCAAAGAATTGCTTGGAATTTCAAACTTTAATTTTACAAGAAAGGACGTTGAAAGTATAAACGAAAATATGATGAATATGATTGTTTTTCCCATTGTTGACACATTTTGTTCTCTTTCCAAGCATCAAATATAATTTAACGCCTGAGGAATTCAATACTGCCTGGAGAGTTTCATCAAAATACCGAATGAAGCAATTTATGGATGAAACTCAAACCATAGCTGAGATTTACGCAAAAACAACATGTCGAGATCCTTATCTTTTATGGTGTCTGCATGGATACTTGTATCCCACAAAAAAGTTCATGCGAACAAATACTTGTGGAAAAAAGGAATTTGGCCGGTATAAAATTAAACACTCACAGGAGGCTCTCATATATATTAATGAAACTATGCAGTCTTTGACCACACATATCGAATTTCTATCAAAACGGAACGAGCCAATACAACCATTTATGCTAGGTCTAGGAAACTCAAAAAAGGTGAATGTAGATACATTTTTTTATATTTAGAGGTTATTTAATGCCAATAACTTATTTTAAAAGAGCTCTCGATGTATGTTTTAAGTCATTTAATGTTTTTAATGTACAATATCCACTGCACTCATCACTATTTTGGCAATTTATTGAAATATATATGTATGAAATTAAGAAGAAAAAAATTCTAAAGTTTGCGTATTAGTAGATACACTACGAAAAAAGTAAATTAATGAATTAAAGAATATTTTATAAATATTAATTTCATATGAAAGGCTTTGAATAAAATATTAATTTGTATTCCTAATGTAATGAATTTCAAATTAAAAATTTTGAGATTAATAAGATTTTAATTATATATTATACATGAAATTAAATATTATATATGAATAAAATAAAATATTTGTAAAAATAAAAATATCATGTTTTTTAATTACGAATTTTTTAATGAACACATTTCAGGATAATGAAATAATTTAGTTTCATTAATGCAGAAGTTTCATTTTATTAATGTAGAAATTTTACTGCACTAATGAAAGTTAGTCATTCTATTAATGCAGAAGTATCATCGCATTAATGAATGTTTTTCATTGCATTAAATACTATTTTCCATTGTATTAATGAAGATGTCTCCTTGTATCAATGAATGTTGTTCACAGCATTGATGAAAACGTTTCATTACATTAATGAACGTTTTTCATTGCATTTATGAAGAAGATGCATTTTATTAATGTAGAAGTTTCATTGCATTAATGAAGAAGTTTCGTTGCAATAGTGAATTTGTTTCACTGCATCAATGAAGAAATTTCATTGCATTAACGAATAAATTCGTTAATTTTACATTAATGAAACTCAATGAAACTTTTTTCATTAATTCAATGAACCTCTACGTTGGTTCAAAATCCATGACAAATTTCATTGAATGAACGTAAGAATTCATTTATGTTATGAAGCTTTTTTTTCAGTGAAATGATTTGAAATTTCAAATGTGTTAAAATTTTAATTACTGCACCACTCCACCTTAAGAGTTATTAAAAATAAAACAAACAATTAAACTTTTTAACTAATGTTTAAATTAAAACAAATTATTAACATTTAAAGAGAACTTTTTGAATGGTGTACTAATCCCGAAAAGTAAGGAAAGTAGTAAAGTCGGACGGGGACGACTATATGATACCCTTCAAAATTTTGGATATATTCAACAGATGAATCCTAACAGACTTTGAAGGACCATTAACACGAAAATGTATCCATAAACATGTCATTCTGCAACCTATACTAAATTTTTCATTTGATCATATATAAAAAATTTGAACATATTTTAATGATACTTGCCAGAGATTGACTTATATTACGTTAGCTAAAATGCAAAAAGGCGTAACTAAAAAAAGTGACTTTTTGAATTTGTTTTATTTAGGTATACATCTGTCAATGTATTAAAAGTGAACTTAGAAAAGTCAAAACACTTTTTTGCTTCTCCTACACAATAATGCTACAGTTCATTGTACAAAATAGCGTGGCAATCGGACAAACTTTGGATCTTCAGTGCACAATTTATATCAAATCGGAAGAAAAGATATATTGAAGCTATATCTGAATCTGTACCGATTTTCACGAAACTTAACACACATCATTCTTTATTTATTACGCTATGCCGAGCAAATCGAAATATATATATATATATATATATTGACTTTGTTGCACCATTTTCATTAAATGGGACGAATATATATATATATGGGAGAAATATCTAAATCTGGACCGATTTTCAGGAAACTTGACACACATCAGTCTAGACCTAATTCAGTACCCTATGCCAAATTTCGTGCAATTTGAAAGATATATAGGGGCTTTGGTACACCATTTCCATTAAATCGGACGAAAATATATATGTGAGCTATACCTAAATCTAAACCAACTTTCAGGAAACCTAACACACATCATTCTAGACCTTCGTGCAAATCGAATTATATATAGGGACTTTGGTGCGCCATTTACCTTAAATCGGACGAAACTATATATGGGAGCTATATCTAAATCTGAACCGATTTTCTCGAAACTTGGCATACATCCCTCTGGACCTAATTCAGTACTCTGTGCCAAATTTCGTGCAAATTGAACGATATATAGGGACTTTGGTGCGTCATTTACCTAAAATCGGACGAAACTATATATGGGCGCTATATCTAAATCTGAAGCGACTTTCTCGAAACTTGGCACACGTCCCTCTGGTCCTAATTCAGTACTCTGTGCCAAATTTCGTGCAAATCGAAAGATATATAGGGACTTTGATGCCCCATTTACCTTAAATCGGACGAAAATATATATTGGAACTATATCTAAATCGGAACCGATTTTTCTCAATTTCAATAGGGTTCGTCCTTGGGCCAAATAAGTGACCTATGCCAAATTTCATCCAATTCGGATCATAAATGCGACCTGTACTTTGTTTAGAATTTAACATGGACAGACGGACAGACATAAAGACATGCACAAAGACATAATACCCTGTACGGACATGCACAAAGGCATAATACCCTGTACCACAGTGTGGTGAAGAGTATAAACATAATTGCAAAACAAAACTCTGGACAAGTAGAGCATTGCAATAGAAAGACCTAGGTAAGTTGACTACGTATTTCATAGCAAACAAAATCTTCTACCAACATTCGGTAAGGGCACATTAAGTGGCATTAGTATGCCTCAACCGTTCTACATTCACAATGCTTGTTTGTATAAAATTTAAATAATTTGTCTCAAATAAAAACACACACATATACATACAAACAAAAAGTCCTAAAGAAACAATAAAAAAACTCAAGTGTTGTATTATTTTGTTGTTATTATTGTTTGTAACACATTTGTCTGGTTGTAACATTTTGTATTTATTTTGATTTAATTTTTTCTGGATTTTAGACAACCTTCGGATCGCAAAAAGGAACATATCAAACGGCCAATGAACGCATTTATGGTATGGGCCCAGGCGGCTAGACGTGTTATGTCTCAACAGCATCCGCATTTGCAAAATTCCGAGCTAAGCAAGTCGCTGGGTAAATTATGGAAGTAAGTAAACAAAGATACACATATGCAAATTTTCTAAAATACATACATACTGACACATATAATAACAATCATAATCATTAATGTCAAATACTCCCAATTGTACAATAGCAAATGATTGTTATTATTCAGATGTACAAATTTTAAATAAAGAATGAAAAAGACATCGTTAAGTTCTATTGGGCCGAACTTAATTTAAATTCTGTACAATTGAGTCTCCTTTAAAAATGTCTGAAAAAGGCCAGGAGTTTTATATGAAAAATATACCTAGTAAGTTTTGTAATGTTCTTGGAAAAATTTATACAGAGAATCAGGTTGGAGAACTGGGCCAGGACTTAAAAGTATAAAATATTTAGTGGGATGAAAATTCTCTTTACATGGAATATCAACAATACAGAGGGGCCTTCATATGGGGTCTATGTCAAAACATGGGTCTATTTGAAATAGTTCTGCCACTTCAGTGAAAAATACGAATCAAAGCGTAAAAATATTGGAAAGGGAGTCGGACCATTAAATGGGGCCTATGTTAAAGATAGGACTTTGTTTTTTTTTTTTTTGTAAAAAATGTTTTTTACCTTCAGGAACTTAATCTGTCCGCATAGATTATCTCAATCGCCAAGACCCTGAAATGCCAAATTACAGCTTCTTGAGATGGAAAAATGTGGTTTAACACTAAAGATATGGAACATAAAAAATAGAATAGAAAACATGGACACCTGAACCCCGGAATGATAGATGTTACAGTTTGTAAATGCCACTGATATCAGGTTAACGTTCCAATGATCCTTTCCACATGCCCATAAATACTCATGTCAGCTCCTTTACAAAGACTCTCTTCAGTCGTCTCTAAATATTTCACAGACGAGCGGATGAAAGTATCGATAGTCGGCCTTAGATGCATATCATCTCGCCAATGAAAGACTCCCTTCAGATCGTCTATAAAGACTCGCCTCAGATCGTCTATAAAGACTCCCCTCCGATCGTCTATAAAGACTCCCTTTAGATCGTCTATAAAAACTTGCTTCAGCTCGCCTATGACTCCCTGCTTCAGCTCGTCTATGACGGACTCCCTGCTTCAGCTCGTCTATGAAGGACTCCCTGCGTCAGCTCGTCTATTATAGACTCCCTGCTTCAGCTCGTCTATGACAGACTGCCTGCTTCAGCTCGTCTATGAAGAACTCACTGCTTCAGTTCGTCTATGAAGGACTCCCTGCTTCAGTTCGTCTATGAAGGACTCCCTTCTGCTCATCTATAAAAGACTCCCTTCAGTTGGTCTATGAAATACTGCATTCAGCTCGTCTAATATATAATCGTCTATAAAAGACTCCCTTCAGCTCGTCTACAAAAGACTCCCTTCAGCTCGTCTATAAAAGAGTCCCTTCAGATCATTTATAACAACTCTCTTCAGATCATATATTAAAACTCCCATCCTCTCCTTCATCGCGTCTATAAAGACTCCCATCAAATTTTTGAACTCCCATCCATTCCCATCCATCCATTCAGCTTGCCTATATATACCCCCTACCCACAAGTGAAAATTATTATGGAATTAACTTTATCTACTATCAATGCGAAACCATTAAATTTAGTTCTTGTCACACAAAATTGCGCTGTAAGTCGCTTTAATGTCAAATTATTTTGTAATTTCTTGTGAAAGATTTATTCCACAGTTCATGACACATTACCCGACACAGCAGGTTGCACTTGATCTTTGATCATTTTCGCAGAAATAAATAAATGAGTCTACTCTGGAGTGTATTTGGCAAATTAACGTATATTTTAAATTCCTCTAAAATAATTCATCCTACGACATTCAAAATTTTAAAATCCACCCATAGAACTTCAATTTCCCATTGATTTTTTCGGAAAAAAAAGATTTTTAAGATTTTTTGAAAAAATGTCAAATATGTCTGAGGAGGCTGGCTTGCACACACAATTCCCTAGAAGCATAACCAAGAATTTAATCAAAATAAAAAAAAAACGATCGCTTATCAGTACCACAGCGTTGATGAAGAAAAAAACACAAACCCAAAACAAATGAAAAATAAATATTCATCCATCCATGACAATTCCAATGATTTGTCGTCGTTGCCGTCTCCATAGCGAAGGCATTAATCATGAAATTGTCTTTCCCTTATCAATGCTCAGCTACAAATGAACCATGAAATTTTTCTAGCCGTTTGTGTGTGTTTTTTATATTTTATTTTCATTTTTTTTACTTTTTATTCAATATGTTAAAATTAACAAAAACCTAAACAGCAAATAAACAAATAAAACAACTGATTTATTATACAATGAAAAACAAAACAAATAACTATTTGCGGTTTTCTTGTTAGCATCAAAAGTTTTGAAGTCAAAAAAATATTAATTAAATAATATTACGAGCGGTTTTAGTTCAGAGAATGCAACAAAAACTGATTGCAATAAAATATATATTAATATATTTTTAAATTTAATGCATTCAAGGGAGGGAAAGGGACATTTTATTAAGATAAGGTGTGTGGGGTTTGAGCGGAACGGTGTATTAATAAATGTTTTGAAGGGTGTCTTTATAGACATGCAGATGAGAAATATGTATAGACCTGCTGAGTGAAGTCTTCACAGACGAGCTTAAGGGAGTTTCCATAGAGGAACTGAAGGGAGTCTCCAAAGACAAGCTGAGGAAGCTTCTATAAACGAGCTAAAGGAAGCCTTTCATAAACGAGCTGACGGGAGTCTTTCATAGACGAGCTGAAGGAAGTCTTTCATAGACGAGCTGAAGGGAGTCTTTCATAGACGAGCTGAAGCAGGGAGTCTTTCATAGACGAGCTGAAGCAGGGAGTCTTTCATAGACGAGCTGAAGCAGGGAGTCTTTCATAGTCTTTCATGCGTTGCGGCCCGGGGGTCCCGCCCCCGCAACAGCGAATTTTTTCATTTGTCGCCATTTTGTAGTCGTTTTAATCATTATTCCAACCAAATTTCAGTTCTTATTGCTAAACACGTCTACACAGCTACCAGAAACAAATGGTTGCCGAAAAATTATATTTGAAGCAACTGAAGTTGACAACAGTTGCCATCCATAATTCAAATTTGGCAACTGGCAACCACTAAACTATGGTAACCATCCGTAATCGAACCATAAGATAATTTAAATACCTACCTCATAGGGGAAGGATATAAAAAGTCCAGTGCAGTGCAATGCAGTACGGATGGCCTAAAAACGGAAGCATCTGTTACGGCAATGATAAATGGTGCTACGACCATACATAGCAAGAACCATAGCTCTACCGGAGCGACAACAACACCACCAGAAACCAAATCAAATGGTCAGAACAAAAAACTGTCGACAACAGGCGGAGCAGCAGCATCAGCATCAACGGCCACAACCAATTGTCATTTGTCATCAAAAACCATGGCAACAGCTGGAAATCGTTTGAATGGCAACAAAGCCAATGGCAAACAAAGAAACCGTGAACAACCACCGCAACAACAACATCACAACCAGCCACCAATGTCAGATAATGGCAAATCTACAACCCATTTTATTTCTGCAATGGATATTAATGAAACATTAAAGAATTCCTGTAAAAATGTGTCCTCCATGTTGACTCAAGGTCGTCTCTTGGGACCGGCACATATTGCCGCTGATGAAAGTTCAGCGGAATTTATGTTTAATCGTTATGATTATAGCAAATCGTTGGATTCACCTGGTTCCACGACTAGTTCATTGTTATCCTGTGCCACCTCGGCCAATGATTCACAGCCGTTGACACCACCAGCTACACCATATTGCAACGCTACACAACAACGTTTGACAGGACATCAGGCCACACTGCATCATCAGCCACGTCAAGCAACAAGAAATTTGTTGCAGCAACAGGTTAACGATGTTGTGGGTGGTGGTGGCGGTTTAAGTGAATACCAGCTACTTAACATTGAAGGACGTGAATTTATATCCTTGGATGAATATCCTTATAATTCCATGGGAGGGCCTTTAGCTAATAGTGGAGGTGGTGGTGTTGCTCCACTGGCAATAAATGTCTATATTCATGATGGCAGTCATCAATATTCCTCACCTTCCTCCTATGCTTTGCAATTTTATGGCAATCAACAGCAACAGGAACAAACAAACAACAATCATATTCAACATAATTCAATGGAATTTCAAACTTATGGACAACTTGGTAGTTCTGCAGGGTATACATCGGTATATCGTCACACAAATTGTTCTTCATCTCCGACGATGCACACCATTGAACCTTTAAATTATTTCAACATATCCACCCCACCACCACCAGCAGCAACGACAGCCGAACACTCTCCTTTGCGGACATCATGCTCCTCGCCCTACTCAAAGACCACTGCTCTCAAGACGGGGATGCCCAAGATGAATGGCCATACCCAACATTATATGGCGCCATTCGCCTCTGCAACAACGGATCTAACATCGGAAGTTGCTGCTGACCACACTAATGAAGATGTTGAAACCAGCATCGAACAATATTTTATGGATCAAATAATGCCCATTGCGTCGACGGCCACAGCCACAAACATCAATGGCATAATGCATCAGGTCTCACCCTCCCTAACCACCTCATCACCAACATCATCTGCGAGTATTGTCACTGCAACATCTGGAATTTCTTTAAACAATTATACGAAATCTCTCATGTATGCGGCAAAAATGGCACACAACACATCCGACACACATGGACTGGAGGATTATACATCAGCTGCCAAAAAGGTATGTCTACCACCTACACCATCAACATCGTCAAGCAATTCGACCGCATCCGGTTCATCATCATCACTGTCGCCACATAAGTTTTCACCTACATCACCCACGACGACCACAGCCACTGCAGCAGATAATATGAATTGTTATTACATGGCGGCACAGATGCACTCCACAACTACTACCGGGGGAGTCTTATCATCACCTATGGTGGCAGCAGAGACGACGACAACGACACTTACCACGGAGGCACATGCCGGCCCAGCTATGGGACATCATTGTAATGATGTATGGCCACAATGGAAATATGCAACACCAACAACAGTCTCACATTTTGTCACACCATACACAAGAGCAACACCTACAACAACATCATCAGCATCATCCACAGCAACAACAACAGCATCATTATCATCATCATTATTTCAACATATCC